TCCAAGAAGGACTTGGTGAGATTATGTGTGTGGACCTGATGATGGCAGTGACTCCTGAGAGTGCCGGCTAGACTTTTTTGCGTGGCCAACAAACTTGATGAAATGCCCTTTAAACAGCCCTTTTTTAAAAAAATAAGTGGTGCCTATGCATGTAGACTTTGCCGGACTGAATACACAGGAACCAAATAGATGATATCTCTCAGAGAGAGACTGTATCCTGAGTCAGGGTAAGGCTCAGAACCGACTGCACAGGACCATCTGTTGCTTACATGCAACTTTAAATTGAAGATGAAGAAATGTAAACCCAGCCATGAGAGCTGAATACCACCTTGAATATATCCCATCTGAGTCTAGAGACCACCTCAAGACGTACTGAACACTAATGATTGAGGACGAAAGGAAGGACATCATGCGTGAAGAATGCAAAAGGCCATTACAAACACAGAAAAGACAAAGGGGTGTCAGAAGCGTCTCTGGTACTTGCTACTGAATCCAGGTTAAAGCAAGGGAAGGGAGTTCTGGTGGCCTAGTGATAAGCTGTGCTGCAATCCCGAAGGCACATGGTTCAAATCCACCAGCTGCTCCTGAGAAGGATAAGCAGTCTCCTGTGCAATTAACTGCCTTTGAAAACCTCTTGGAGGGTCAGCTATGGCTCATTTCCCACTCAATGACTCAACAGTCAATGGCATAGAGCAGCAACAAAGCAACAACAAAGCAAGGGAGCTCCAGTGGCGTAATAGTTGAGACTTGTGCTGCTAATTGCAGGGTGGCACCTCGTGGCAGTTAAATTTCACCAGCTTCTCAGGAGGGGGAAGAGAGGCCATCTCCTCCCATGGGATTCGCAGCCTCAAAACAACAGCCAGAGGGGCCAGCTCGGAGGGACTCAATGGCAGTGAGGGAGTGAAAGCTAATCAAGGACATAATGCAGTTTTAGTGCTAAAAAGAAGGTTCTCCCTGCCCTCCGCCCCCACCCCCCCAATAAAGGCTGTGTGGTGGAGAGTGGGGGGGAGGATTGTATAACAATGAAAGAATTTTTTTTTTACTTTTCAAAGAAAAAAGTGAACTGTGGAGGACGGGGAGGCATGGGTAGGGAGGAAAGTGTCCAACAATGAATGAACGGAACTCCAGAGTCTCTGTAAACTTTCATTAAAATAAAATTTTTTAAAAAAGAAAATATCTGGGGGAGCTCTGGTGGCCTAGTGGCAAGGAACTGCAACTACAATCCCAGAGGCTCAAGGTTCGAACCCACCAGATGCTCTGCCGGGGAAGGAGGGACAATCTCCTCCTGTACCAGTCAGATCTGATTTGACGGTACACGCACACACACACAAAATAATAATAAAAAAATTTTTTTTTAAAAAAAGAAAATATCTTCATAACAACTGTAAAAATATAAAATTCCAACTTTATCAATTGAAAAAAGAAGGTTCTAAAGAGTGGCTAAATGAAAAAAAAAAGAAAAGCAAGAACAGAAGTATTATAATGAAATGTAAAAAGAGCTAGAAGTATTAAAAAACCTACAATAAAGGAAGAAAAAGTTCAGTGTTTCTTAGGCCAGAAGAACTGAAGAAAAAACCAATAAATTTAGGCCTCAAATTGAGATAATTCAGGGCCCTAGACAAATGATTTGAATGGTGCATTAAATATTAAAAGAATTAAAAGAGTTAACATTCAACCACTTTAGGAGGTATTGGCCACAAATAGACCTTCAGAAACTGACAGACTAGCATTTGAAATCTTGCAGCAAATGGACACAATACTGAAAGTGCTTACTCATCTACATCCAGGTATTTGGGATACACAGCTACCTCCTTAACCATCCGGAAGAGACCAATATTTGTATCCATTCCAATAAAAGGAGGTTCATCAGAATGTAGACCTTACTGAACAATAGCAGTGATGTCACAGGCAAGTAACATGTTTCTGAAAATAATGAAAGAAGTGATGAGAGCCATATATTGGCAGGGAACGCTAGAAATACAAGCCAGATGCGGAAGTTGTTTTTAGGTGCCTTTGAGGCTCGTACAACTCATAGCAACCCTGTCAACAACAAACCTGCCCCTTGCCCTGTCCCGTACCACCCTCGTCTCTGATACAGGAGATACCATCTCTTGATACAGTGGAGCCCATTGCCATGGTCACTGTATCATCTCGTTGAGGATCTTTCTTTCACTGCCTTTCTGCCTTTCTAAGCATGATGTCTCTTGCCAAGGAATGGCCCCTCCTAACATCTGATACCAGATGGGTTCTGACTGAAAGGAGGGAATACCAGAGAGAAATTTACCGGCATTTTGATAACTTTGCAAAAACACCCAGCTATGTAAATTCTAACAAGTTGTGGTAAAATGAGAATTCTAGAACACTTCATTTTGTTCACGTGGAACCCAGATATAGACCCAGAGGCAGTCATTCAAACAGAACAGGGGATACTATAGGGCTTAAAACCAGAAAAGGTGTGTATCGGGGTTGTATCCATTCTCTAGACTCATTCAGTCTCTATATTGAGCAAAATTCAGAGAAGCTAGACTCTGGAAAAAAAATAGGATGTCCAGATTGATAGAAGATTAATTAACAACGTGCAATACACGGATAACACAACTTTACTTTCTGAAAGTAAAGATGACGAAGTATTTATTGATAGGAATTAAAGCCTTCTATATGAACTCACCTTTCCAAGCGAACAAAATCTTCACAATGAAGCCAGAAGTGACATCATGATAAATGGAGAAAATACTGAGGTTGTCAAGGATTTCAACACCCATGAAAGCCGCTGTGAAGACATCAAGGGCTGTATTGCTTTAGATAAATCTGAAATCAGACCTCTTTCAAGTGTTCAAAAGCAGAGAAGTTACTTTGAGGACTAAACAGCCGCCAACCCAGCTGTACTATTTTCTGGGTTTTTTTCCCTGTACATGCCAAAGCTGGACAATGAATAAAGAAAACAGATGCTTTTGAATTTTAAAATGATAGTTGTTGGAGAATATTTAGTATTCCATGGACTGTCAGAAGGACAGACAAGTCTGTCCTGGAAAATGTGTAGCCAGAATGCTTTCTTTGAAGGAAAGTTAGCAAGACTTCATCTCAGAGACTTTGGACATATCAAGAACAGTCCCTGGAGAAAAGTAGAGGAAGAGCTTGGTCAAGTGGAGGGTCAGTGGAAAAGAGGAGGACCCTCAGCCAAGATAGATGGACATTGTGCCTGCAGCAGTGGGCTCGGCTGTGGCAAACAGTCGTGAGGACGATGCAGGACCAGGCGCTATCTCCTTTATTTTATGTAGAAGCGGCATGGTACAGAGCCCACTGTATGGCTTCCAACCACACAAGAAATCCATGAAAGAGGCAGAAACTAGTCTTAGGAGTATCTGTGTGCTTCCACTCCTACCTTTTGCATTGGATGCTTGCCAGGGGTCAGTTTATTATACTTTAAAGAGATAGAAGCTGGAAATAGTAGCTGATACACTGTGGATCTGATGCTATTACAATTCCTAAGTTACGTCAGTAGGCAGTGAATGAGAGAGATCTGGCGGCCTAGTGGCAAGACGCTGCACTGCAATCCCAGAAGTATGTGGTTCGAATCCACCACACGCTCTGCTGGAGAAGGAGGGACAATTTCCTCCTGTACCAGTCAGATCTGATTTGACAGTACATGCACACACACACAAAAAGGTACTAGTCAATAAATGAAAGCATACAACTTTTAATTTCAAATAAGATACTTATATGATAAAAGTAGGATTTTAAAAAAATAATTCTTTGCTTTACAAATTTTATTTTAGATTTTAATGAAGGTTTATAAAGAATTTAGATTTCTGTTTATTCATTGTTGCACATTTCCCCCCCTTCCGCAGTTTGCTTTGTTCTTTGGGGAAAAAAAAATTTTTTTTCATTGTTATACAGTTCCCCCTCCCTCTGACCACCTTACCATACAGCTCCCATTCTGGACTCCTGTCATGCCAGTAATACCTAATCATATATTTCTTTTATATAGTTCTCTCCCTCGTCTGCTCCAATGCCACACACATTATTTATCCCCTCTTTTCTTGGTTTCCTCCCAACACCCATGTCAGTCCTGTTTTATAACACTGGTATTATGCAGTATTTGTCTTTTTTGTGACTGAGATATTTCACTTAGCATAATGTCTTCTATGATAACCCATTTTGTATAATATTTCATGAGGTCTTTGATTTTTCAGTGCTGCATAATACTCCATTTTGTGAATATACCACAGCTTCTCTATCCATTCATTTGTTGATGGGCACTTGAGTTGTTTCCTACTCTTTGCTATTGTGAACAAAGCCGCAATAAACATGGGTGTGCATCTATCTGCTTGGGTGGCAGTTATGGTTTCTTTAGGGTGTATTCCCAGTAGTGGAATTGCTGGGTCAAATGGTATTTCTATTTCCAACTTTTTGAGAAAGCGCCATACTGCCTTCCATAGTGGTTACACCATTTTACACTCGCACCAACAGTGAATAAGGGTTCCAGTTTCTCCGCAACATTGCCAGCATTTGTTGCTTGTTGTTATGTTAAATTTTGCTGTTCTTACTGGGTTAGATGATATCTCATAGTTGTTTTGATTTGCATATCTCTTAGAGCTAGGGATTTTGAACATTTCTTCATGTGTTTGTTGGCCATCTGAATGTCTTTGGTGAAGTGTCTGTTCATATCCTGTGCTTTACAAATTTCTTAACAATTGCCATTCACAACTATATTGGCTAATATTGTTGTACTGTTGAGTCAGAAGTGATCCTTAAGTGACTCTGAGCAGGTTTTCAGAGGCAATAAATCGCCTGGAAGGATTGTCTAGCGCTGTTCTGTGGAGCAGCGAGTGGACTCAAACTGCACACTTTTGTGTTGGCAGGGCAGTTCCTTACGGCTGAGCCACCAGCGCCCGTTTAAAGGAATGGAAACACCACTAAATCCTGTGGTTCACGTGGATGGGTCTACTTTTTGTCCTGCGTTTTCACACGTTCCGTCACTATTAATTGTTCTCGTTTAGTTCCAGATGTTGATGTGAAAGGAGAGTATTCTGGCTACTATTTCTTGTTACAAGGTGGTGGCAGTAGAAAATGTAAGGCGACGCTGATTCACTCAGCCAACCAGATCAATGGCTCTTTTGCACTGAATTTAATTCATGGGGAGAAAACAAAAACAGAAGAAACCAAACAGAGTAAGTGTTCAATTTATGTTAAAAAAACAGATTGTGTTTGTGTAACTAATTTACATATGTTAAATGGGGAAAATAATAGGCATTCATTAACTGGTTTTCCCTAGCCCGATTCTTCTTAGTGAATTGACCTTATATTTTGAACATATTTTAACATAGTTTTATAATTCAGAGAATAAAAATTGAATTCCTCACACAATGTACCTAGTAAAATTTAGTGGACCAACAAATACAACATTTTCCGTATTTTCTCCTTTAAGCATTGCTTAATTTATTCTTTTTTATTAGTTATTTTTCGAACCCCTTCTGTTTCCCTGCTTGTCATTTTCTTTTCTCTTTAGACTCCGTGTTTGGGTGTCTCATTCTGTGTGACAGTAGTCCCGTGTATAAATGCTTCAGACTTGGGTTTTGTTCTTGCAGCTCTGTGCTGACAGAGCCCAGCTGTTCCGTTATCTCTCAGATGATGACAGTCACATGGCAGTGGTGGCTTAAGTTACTGAAGGCTCACCTGGTCTTGGCATCCAAGAAATTGTCTTCATTTATGTACTTGATGCCTAGGCTGAGATGGGAGAACCATTGTTGTTGTTGTTGTTATGTGCCGTCGAGTCGCTTGCAACTCAGAGCGACCCTATGTACAACAGCCCTAAACTCCACTCTGTCCTGTGCCAATTACACTGTCTCTGACACTCCCATCCCAATTACCCTAGTCACTGAATCAATCCACCTCATAGAGGGCCTTCCTCTCCTGTGCTGTCCCTCCACCCTCCCAAGCATGATGTCCCTCTCTAAGGACGGGTCTCTCCTCACAACATGTCCAAACTGTTAGACGGAGCCTCAGAATCCTTGCCTCCAAGGAGCCACCCGGTTTAACCCTTTCCAGGACAAATCTGTTTGTTTTCCTAGCAGTCCATGGTATTCTCAATACTCTTCTCCAGCACTACAGCTCAAAGGCATCAATTCTCCTTCTATCCTCCTTGGTCATTGTCCAACTCTCTGATGCATAACAAGTGATTGCGAAGACCATAGCCTGTATCAGACGCACCTTAAGGTTGGGTTTTGTAGAAGAATTCTCTTTAACTGAATTTGCTGATAAAGATGCAAAAAATTCCCATTCTACTTCTTAAAATAACCTAATTTAAGAAGCGAGTCAAAGTTTAAAGCACAAAGTAAGTTGGTGTGCTTTTTTTTCTGTTACTTTATTCTGCTTTACTTTGAAATATACAGTGGCAAGGGGTGTAAGTGTTTGTCTTCTTTTTCATTAAAACAGATTTTCCTGGTACTTAGTCACTGACTTTTTCTACCTCTCAGGCTCTCCTTTTGATTTCACATCACTTCCACTGTTTCCTGCGGAGCAGATTGTACAGAGAGAGAAACAGTTAGCCCGTGTTCAAGCTTTGACTTTGAAAGAGTGTCTGAGTAAGTAACAAGTCACAATTTGTATGGTTCATCCTACTCTAAGAATGCTGACTTTTTTGAGAGATAATACATCTTCTTTTTCTCATAATGGGTTTTCATATATACTTTGTCTTTTTAACTGTGGCGTTTACTGACCTCTTTTGCACAGAGATGATAAAGAGAGTCAAAGAGAGCTATAGATTTTTGTTTTGACAGATTATAAATATTATTTATTTGTACATAGATCTTGACTTTTCTCTAGGCAAGTTTTATATCTCATTTTTAAAACTGTGTACTAGAAAAGAGAGCTCTAGTGGCCTGGTGGCAAGAAGTTGTGCTACAATTCCATAGGCGCAGGGTTCAAATCCACCAGCTGCTCCTTGCGAGAAGGATAGGCATTCTCCTGTGTGATTAACTGCCTCTGAAAACTGGAGGGTCAGCTATGGGTCAGTTCTGACTTGATGGTACAACAATAACAACAACAACAACAACATTATATATTAAGGCTACCTGGTGGCTCAGTGGTAAAGGAGTTGTGGTCCTAGCCCATGGGCAGTTCAAATCCACCATCTGCTCCTGGGGAGAAGGAAGGGCAGTCTTCTGTGCGATTAACTGCTTCTGAAAGCTCGCTCGAGGACCAGTCATGAGTCGATTCTGTCTCAACAGTACACAACGTCAATTATATATTGGCTACTAGCTTTTAAAGTTTTTAAAAATAAATGTTAAGCATTCATACCTAACATAAACTGAAACTTGAAACAATTAATTGGCACAGAATCTATAAAATATGCAACAGTGAATGAATGAATGAAAATTCAACTTTTCTGTAAACTTTCATTAAAATCACAATTAAAATAAAGTATTTAAACCACTCCCCCTGTCAAAAGAAAATCTATAAAGTAGACTGAAATTTTAAGAACTTAGTTAAATAGAAAGTATTATACTTAATTATAGGGGAAATGATAGCGGAATTAAGTAGATAATATAAAACAAATACTATTTAAAAACATACTGTTATTAAACTTTTAAAAAGTCATTTAAAATGTTTCTAATTTCATAACCTATTTTATTCAAAGAAAAGAGCTGTGATACCATAGTCTCTTATGTGTTGTGCTGCTAACCCAAAGGTCTTTGGTTCGAATCCACCATCTGGGTGAGACCTATGGGTAGTCTCATCCCTCAAAAGATTTACAGCCTGAGAAACCTGGTGAAGTGTCCCTAAAGTCAGAACCAACTCACTGGCAGCCAGAAGGTTTTATTTAATGGAAGATGATTTCAGAAGAGGGAACGCTTGTGGCCTAATCTGTAGCTTGTTGCCCGGCTAACCTTGGGCTCCGTTTAAAACCAGAAACCTGGGCAGTCTCTTTAAGTTCAAGTTTACAGCCTTGGAAAACTGTTGTTCTTGTTGTTGTTATGTGTACTGTCAGGTTGGAACCAACACATAGCTAACCCTCCAGCAAGCTTTCAAAGGCTGGAAGATTTCAGAGGCTCCACCAATGGGTGGAGATTGCTTACCTTCTCCTGTTGAGCCGCTGCTGAATTTGAACTGAATCTTTGGGTTCACAGCACAATTCTTCATCCACAAGAGTTAGAGGGGTGCTGTGAGATAGAACTGATTCAGTGGAAGTGAGTTTTTGAGTTTGCACTTCTGAATAGTTGGCTCATTGATTTGTGCAGGGATTATACACCTTTTTAATTGGACAAAGTTTGATAATTGTGCAGTTTTGAAATCCTTTGTCTAGTTCTCTATTTTGGTATAACATAAGCACTACAAGTGAATGGCCTTCCAACAGTACAAGAGGCTGTAACAGAATCAGGGTGCTGGCTCTCAGAGCAAGCTTTCTTCCTCTGTGGACTCTGGAGGAGATGCTTATCTCATTGTAGCTTCTACTCCCAGGCAGTCTTCATTTGGGTTGGCATCTCCAGTCCCAAATTCTTTCAATGAAGCAGGTGTAATCCTGATACCAAAACCAGGCAAGACACCTCCCCATAAAGAAAATTATAGACTAATATTTTTTATGAATATATGTATAGAAGTTCTCAGCAAAGTCTTAGCCAGTAGAACTCAACATCAGGTATGCAAGGATGGTTCAATATTGTTGTTGTTGATTGCCTTCAAGTTGAACATGACTCCTAGTAACCCTATAAACAGAAGGCCTGAAGCCCCCTCTACAGCTGTCGGTATTTCTTAAAGTTCATAGAGTTTCCGGAGGCATGTTGTTTAGGAAGTGGATGCCATTCCTGCTTCTAAGTTCAGTATTAGAAAAGCAAATTAATTCACCACATAACTAAAACAACTAAACAACTCACAACACGGTCAAACCAATTAGTGTAAAAATGGCATTTGCTAAAATCCAAACTCTTTCTTGATAGAAAAATCTCCACAAAATAGGAACAGAAGATCCCTTCTTCAGCATTAATTAAGTGTACACGTAGAAAACTAACAACCAGCATTAACATCAGTGGAGAGAGACTGAGAAGTCTGGTACTAGGACTATGACATTTAGACCACTGGAACGGAATTGAGAACCCAGAAACGAATCCATCCACCCCTGGACGACTGATCTTCAACAAAAGGCCAAAGTCCATTACAAAGGGATGAGACAGTCTCTTTAAAACCATTGCTGCTGCTCTTTTTTTTCCTTTAACCTCACCAGCTTCCCACACTATCTTAATTTCACAATGCCTGACAAAGATAGTGAAGCTTTATCTCGCATACTTTGGGGATATTGTTACAAGGGGCCAGTCCTTGGAGAAGAACATCATGCTTGGAAAGGTGGTAGATCAAGCCTAGGAGAGGAAGCCCCTCAACGAGATGGGTGGTAACTGTTAACAGGGGGCTCAGTGACGAGAATGGCACAGGATAGGACCTTGCTCTGATCTGTTGTTCAGAGTGTCACTCTTGACACATAACAATGACAACATCATCTTTACTCGACGGCACTGTTATAACAAGAACCGCTTACAGTGAGTTTATGAATTTTGGTGAAATCAGTGGTCAGTTTTAGCATTATGATGACCAAATGGAGAAACCCTGCAAATGAAAGATAAATTGGAAGATACGGCTTTTTAAACTGAGGGCCCGCCGAGCTTTCTTGTACTGATAGCCAGAATTATAGTTCCTCATCACTCTCAGAGCTGGGGACCTACAGGGCCGAACACTTAACCGCATCTCAGAGAGCTTACTTCCTGAACATAAGCTAGCTCAGATAAAAGGCAGGAGGGAGAGAGTCGATGAGAGTACGTGTAGTTCCTTCTGACTAACTCAGTGAGATGTGAGGTGGTTTGGAGGAACTGGAAGTGCGGCTGAAGGCAGAGTGTTTGCATAGGTGAAAATAAGGCCAGGATAATGAAGATTCCCCCGTCTCCCCCTCCCCAAAGCTTTCTTTTAATTACCTAGTAATTCTTTCTGTTGGGCTTTAAATTAGAAGTTGCGTATGACCAACTCCAATTGTCTTGACAGGCTTGTGAGCTTCCTAGGGACAGACCTGGGAATCTGACATTTCAGAGACTTTCATTATATAGTTTTAACCTCAGCCTCACCACCCTCCAACAACATAATGTTCTGGAGTCTGGGATTCCTCTCCATCAATTGCCACCAAACAGAGAGCAGAGTTGCCTGACTCTGAAGGCTGGAAGGTGGCTTGGGGAGCTGGAGTTCTGACTGCTCCCGATGCAGGCAAGCTTGTTCCTTTAGCTCCGCATCTCCCTGTGCCCTTTCTGATGCCGCTCAGGCTGTGCTGGTCTGCAGACTCCTGAGATATGCCTTTGCCTGCTCTGCTAACTCGCTTGTACTTACCATCATCTTTCTGATCGTCCAGAAGTTCACTCAGTGCTGTCAATAGTCACTGTTGCTCCTTTTGTTACCTCTTTGTTTCCCATTGCTGTGGTTTCATATTGAGGGAAAAATCAATTGATTGAAATGACCAAACTGCCGTATTTAACTCAAAGTCTTAACAGGCTTTATTTTTTCTCATAAACCACTAATATAAGGCCATTTTTGAATGCTTAATGGTATCTACTTTAAAGTGTTTGTAAATTTGGCATTACTGTTTATGAGCTTTTTGGTGTTAGCAAGTTGCTTTCTTTTTTTTTTGTTTTTGTTTTGTTTTGTTTTTTTATTTTGTGTGTGTGTACCGTCAAATTAGATCTGACTGGTACAGGAGGATATTGCGCCTCCTTCCCCGGCAGAGCATCTGGTGGATTCGAACCGTGTTCCTCTGGGATTGCAGTGCAGCTTCTTGTCACTAGGCCACCAGAGCTCCCCAGCAAGTTGCTTTCTATGTTTTTCTATTGTTGTTGTTATGTGCTGTTGAGTGGCTTGTAACTCATAGTGACCCTATGTGCAACAGCCCTACACCCTACTTTATCGTGCGCCAGTCTTATTGTTTCTGACACACATACCCCCATTACCCCAGTCACTGAGTAATCTAACTCATCAAGAGTCTTTCTCTCTTGTGCTGTCCCTCCGCTCTCCCGAACATGATGTCTTTCTCCAAGGACTGGTCCTTCCTTGCAACATGTCCAGATTATGTCAGACAAAGCTTCGGAATCCTTGTCTCCAAGCAGCAGCCTGGTCTCAACCTCCCTAGGATGAACCTGTTTGTTCTCCTAGCAGTCCATGGTATATTCAGTACTCTCCAGCACCACAGCTCAAAGACATCAATTCTCCTTCTACCAGCCCTAGTCAGTGTCCAGCTTTTTGATGCATAGCAAGTAATTGCAAAAAACCATGGCTTGAGTCAGGTGCACCTTAGTCTCTAGACTGACATTATTGCTCTTTAGTACTTTGCATAACTGGAAATTCTGCCATTACTTGCAAGTAGGATTAAGATGAAAGCAGGCTTACACAGAAATGTTAATTTGCCTGAGAAATGCATTTATTTCACTTTGGTAGAATATTTCCTGTAACAGTAGTGGATGTGCTCTAGAAAAATTTTACAATAATGGTCATATGGTTAATTGTATTGATTTGTTGTCTTACAGGAAGGAGAAAATTGGCAAAGCAGCCTGAAACCATTTCTGTTGATGAGCTCAAAACTCTGTTAATACTCACAAGGGAGCAGTATTTAGAGAACTTGAATGCTGTTATTCCTAAAAGAACTCCGATAGAGAGAGACAAAATAAAATCCTCCATTGTGGTAAATGGTGAGTTGTTGGGTTTTTTTACTGGCTTTAAAATTTAGGGCATTTTCATATGGAACATCCATACATTGTATGGGTCAAATAAAAATGTATTTTACAAAGTGAAATAATGTTATATATTTGCACACCTCCTCACTGATCATGGTTTTTGGTGTTGTTTATACTATGCCATTGAGTTGAGTCTGACTCAGAGTGACCTTAAGAACGATTGATCTGAACCCTGGCTTATCCTGGGCTATCCTCGTCATCTCCGACATGGTCAACGCCTTTGCTGCCATCACTGTGCCAGTCCATCTTGTAGAGGGTCTTCCTTTCTTTCAGTGACCCTCCACCTTTCCAAACGTGATGTCCCTTTCCAAGGAATCGCCCCTTTTAACAACATGCGCAGAGTAAGTGAGATGAAGCTTCACCATCCTTGCCTCCAAGGAGCGCTCTGGGTGCACTTTCTCCAAGACTCACGCACTTGTTCTTCTGGCAGCCCGTGGGCTATCCAGTCCTCTGCTTCAACACTATCATTCAAAGGCATCGATCATTCTGTTGTCATCACCATTCATTGTCCAGCTCTCATATGAATAAATAGGGTTAGAAAAGACTATGGCCTGAAGTAGGCAAACCTTAGACTTTAAACTGACGTTATTGCTCCTCAGTGCTTTTAAGACGTTTCTGACAGCAGACTTTCCTATTGCAATGCATTTGGGTTTTTTATTTATTTCCTGACTGCTAGTTCCAAGGGTATTGAATGAGGATCTCAGTAAGATAAAATCATTGACGATTTCAATCTTTTCTCCATCTCTCATGATGTTGCTTATTTGTCCAGAGTTTGGAGTTTTTGTTTTCTCATTTCAATGTAGATGTAATCTACTACTGAAGACTGTAGTCTTTGACCTTCCGTGGCAAGTGTTTCAAGTCCTCCTTACTTCCCACAGCAAGGCTATATCATCTGTATAACACAGGTTGCTGATGAGTCTTCCTCTGATCTTGATACCATATTCTTCTTCATAGAGTCCAGCTTCTAGAACTACCTATTTAGCCTACAGATTAGTTTGCAGAAAACCAGGTTGTTAAGTGAAATTTGGCATTATGCAAAAATGAAGAATGATGGCATAATTATGTAACTGATAACTCCAGCCTTTCTTTCTTTCAGTCCAATGTTACTTCCAAAAAACAGCTTTCCTAGGATATTTTAAGTGCTTTATTTTTTTTATATTATCTTACATTTAAAAAAATTATTTAATTTTTTCATTGTTGCCATTTTTACCCCTCAATGTATCCCATTTTCCAGATTGTTGCCAAACATAATATCTATTCATTATACCTTTCAGACAGTTTTTCTTCCCTTCATCTGTTCTAATGCAATATTCACAATCTATCCACTCCTTTCCCATTCTTTCCCCAGTGTCCCCATGTCTGTTCTGCTTTCTCACAGCAATGCCATATAGTAGTTGTCCTTTATTGACTAAATGTTTCACTCAGCGTAATGTCCTCCAGACACCCACATGTTGTGTAATGTTTTATGAGGTCACTATTTTTGAGTGCTGCGTAATACTCCATTGTGTGAATGTACCATAGCTTTTCTCTCCATTCATTTGTTAAGTGGCACTTGGGTTGCTTCTGTCTCTTTGCTGTTGTGAGTAACAGCAGTGAGCATGGGTGTACATTATATTATCTTACTTCTGAGACTCACACAGGCATGAGCGTGCTTCATTCTGTTGCATAAAGAATCACTGTGGTGGATGTTGCCATCAAGTCAAGCATGACTCATAGCCACCCTATGAACAAAAGGCCTGAAGCCTTTCTGTAACTATCATCATTTATCCAAGTTCATGGAGTTTCCAGATGCAGGCTGTTTAGAAAGTGGATGCCACTCCTAGCAACCACAATTGACCTGCCAGCACCTAATGACTTTTAAAATGAGATAATTCATCTCTTTTTTAAAGGTGGATTTTTTTTTTCTTGGATAGTGTCACTGGTTTTTGTTTGTAGTATGAAACATGTTACATCCATCATATTCTTCACAGAGTGGCCTTTTTTCCCTTTAGAACTAATTTTACTAAAATAGAAAAAATTGTACTTCTTTTTAACATGAGACCTTATAGTGCTTCATTCATTTTTATGTTTTCTAGCTCATAAATTTGGTTACAAAGATACAGTAAAACAAATAAAACTTAACACTGCTTTGTTTGTTTTTGTTTTCATTCCTGACGTATTTTTCTATGGCATTTTTCATTGTTGAAATGATCAGAAAGACCTTAGTAAACTCTTCCCATATATGCAGTGCTGCGGATCCAGGTGGCCTTTATACATACACAGAAGTCTGCATGTAAAAAGAAATGTTAGATACCACCGAGTTGGAACTGACGCATAGCTGACCATCCAGAGAGTTTTCAGAGGCAATAGATTGCATGGGAGGAATTTGACTGTCTTTTTTGGAGCCACTGGTGAATTCAAACTGACTGCCTTTGGGTTGGCAGTGCAACTCCTTGTCACTAGGCTACCCGAGCTCCCTTCTATAGAATGAGCATCCTAATGCTTGCCAGTGCTTACGTCAATTTTTTCTCTTTAGATGCCATTTCAGTGGAACCTGATTCTTCAAGTCTAAAGGAAGCGAATGCACTAGAATGGCCAATGAGGCATGTTCTTCAAAATTTGGAAGCTTTTGAAAAAGCCAAACAAAAAATGAGGTAACATTTGTTTCTATTATAAATAAGTCATGTTATAGTTCAGTGTTGTTAAATGAGCTTTTAGAAATCCATTTTAAGTTGTTTTGGTGAGATACTAGTTTACAGTCTTATTAAAATGGAAAATATGCTTGCTATATGTAGATAAAGATATACATTATAATTGGAGTAGTAGATCATTTAGAAGGAAATTGCTCTTTCTTCCACTGTCTATTTCTACTTTACAAGTGTAATCATGGTTAATGTTTGCTTGTGTGGCTTTTAAACTCATCTTCCATGTAAATACACAAGTATATGTGTGCATTTATTAAAATTAGAACCACAATGTAATAGAGAAGTACGTAAAATGAAATAAAGTCACTTTTCCTTTGATGCCGAACCTAATGGAGTGTTTTAGTTTTATTTTATAAACTTTGATAGGACACTAAAGGATTTTATACCAAAAAGGGATCAGATATTTTACAAAAGGTACTTTGCTCTTCTGTGGCAAATAGATTACAAGAGGGAGAAATTAGAAGCAGAGGGATCTAGGGCTTTTTTTCCTTTAAGTTTAGGGAGAGATGACTGTAATTTTAATTTAGAGTAGTAATTGTTAGGGACCATCGAGTTGACTGTGACTCATAGCCACTGTGTGAACAACAGATGGGACCCTTGCCCTATCTGGTACCATTGTCACAGTCTCTGCCCATGGTCAAAGCCATTGTAGTCACTGTCAGTCCATTTCTCTGAGAGTCTTCCTCTCTGTCAATAACTCTCGACCTTTCCCACCATGATGTGTTTTTATAAGGACTGGCCCTGCCTGACAACAAGCCCAAAGTACGTGAGATGCAGTTTCATCGTTGTTGTCTCTTGGGAGCACGTGGGCTGCACTTCTCTGAGACAGAGTTGTTGATCCTTGCAGTTAGCGTGGTAACAGTGCACAAATTTGTGATGTGTTTAGTAGTAAGCTTGAGAAAACTTCCTAGGATAGAGAGGTTGTGGAAGAAAGAGGCTTCAAAGACAATGTGGATTTCGGGGTAGAGCTCTAGAAGGGATGGTGTATTATGGGGGAAATGGATCAGAATGGGGATAAAGATAATTGCAGGGAGAAAGGCAAACCATTTTCCTTTGAGCATGCTACGTTTAACTGATGAGTCATCCAAGTGACTTAGAGGAGAGAGCTGGAATCCAGTTTATAGTTATTATCATTAAAGGGGTTCTTAAATACACATCAGTGGATGAGATCACTTGGTGAGGCTGTAGAGAGAAGGAAGCAGTTCATAATCATTCCCTGGGCATCTCTAATGTTTACATGAAGAAGAGAGAAAAGGGCAGGTTACCCACAATGGAATCTCAGCTTCTTGCCCGTCAATTTTAGAAGGTATTTAACTTCCCACTGTGGAAGGTGAAATTAATACACCTATTTCTCCCACCTCAGAACCTTATGTTATTTGCAATGCATGTTTCTTTTTCTTGAAGTCATTCTTCTCCTATTCCTTTGACTTCCTGTTTTAATTTGGACTGACTTTTTCTGTCCTGTCTGTGCAAATGTTCTCTAGGAATTTCTTTTCACCACATTTCTAGATTAAGTCTTTATTTTGTTGAATCCCATGTCTTGCTAAAAACTCTGATGCCACATTGATTTTTTTGTTCCTTAACAGGTAATTTATTCTGTCTCAGAAACTTTCAATAGATCTTATTTGCTTTAATGTTCTGAAAGTCTTCTGTTATTTCTTTGAAAATATTATTCTTTCCGTTTTCCTGCTCCTCCCCGTCCTTCCTGAAATACCTGTGTTAACTGCTGTTACATGTCCCAGATTGATTTTCATTCAAATGTCATTTTCCTCTCAACATTTCATCACTTTATCTTTTCTGTTATATCTTTGAAATATTTTCTTGACCTTTGCTTTCATGTGTTCTGTTGAATTTTTTGGCTGTTATTTTTAAATTGCTAATAAATCGTTCTTATCTTCTACTTAAAGCTGGTTTTGAAAAATTCTGTCAATGAGCTCATTTTCCTTTGAGTTTTGTGGTTTTTTGTTTTGTTTTGTTTTGGGTTTTTTTTTCCATTCTTCTGTGACTTTCCTCTCCTGGGTAGGTTTTCTGCAGTGTCAAGTGGATTTTGATTGGTGGGGATTGAGGACTAGGGCCTTTTGGTAGCTGATTGGTTTTGTGTTTGGGGTTTTTCCCCCCCCCCTTCTTGTATCTGTGCTCTTTCCGCCTTCATCCTCTCACTTGATTTAATACTCATGGAAGGGACAGGCATGAGGAATGAGTTGTGTGACATGCTTTCCTTTAATAAGCCCTGGAATATCAACAGCCAGACACGGTGATCCTTCTCCCAACCAAAACACTTGGAGAAGTTTATTCTAGGGCAACACCTATGGCACTGGACAGGCCACACAGTGCTGTATTTCTAAAGAGCAATTTCTTTGCTATATTCAGCGTTATAAGCAGGGCTGTGGAAAAGATCATAAAGGAGCCTGGGCTCTATGAGGAGGAATGTTGCGTCAGGATTGGTGGAAGACTCATCAACAACCTGTGTTATGGAGATGACACAACCCTGTTTGCTGAAACTGAGGAGGACCTGAAGCGCTTGCTAAGGAAGTCAAGGACTGCAGCCTCCTATATGGACTGAAGCTCAGCATCAAGAAAACAAAGATTCTCACCACTGGGCCAATTGGCAGCATCACGATAGATGGTGAAGAGATTGTTGACAGCTTCATCTTGCTTAGCTCCACAGTCAACACTCTTGGTACCTGCAGCCAAGAAATCAAAAAATGAATTACATTGGGAAGGTCGGCTGCCAGGGACCTCTCTAGAGTACTGAAAAGCAATGATGTCAGTCTAGAGACTAAGGTGTACCTGATTCAGGCCTTGGTCTTCACAATTACTTGCAGAGAGCTGGACAATGACGAGGAGTGATGGGAGGAGAATTGATCCCTTTGAGTTGTGGTGCTGGAGAAGAGTATTGAATACACCATGGGCTGCTAGGAAAGCAAACAGGTTCATCCTAGAGAGGGTGAAAGCTGTCTGCTTCAGCTGCAAGCCTGACACACGTGGGTAGAACATGTGGAGGACACTCAGGTTAATGTGCAAAATAATCAGATAGATTTTTCACTGTTGTCATAAATGTGAAATGTCAAATACCAAGGTAGTCATTAAGTTTAGGAGGAGTATAGATTTATTTAGGGAGCTCTGGTGGCTTATTGTTAAGGAATTGCGCTACCAACCCAACAGCAAGCAGTTCAAATTCACCAGCTGCTCCCTGGGAGAAAGACAGGCAGTCTCCTCCTCCTGTATAGTTTACTGCCTCTGAAAACTCACTAGAGACTCAGCTGTAGGTTACTTTTGACTCAATGTACATAAATAGGATCAAGTTTATTTATCTCTTTTTACTCTTTTCACCTAGTATTTTTCCTCTTATTTCGTCTACACATGAATTTATAAGAAGGTACCATGACTTGATAAATTACCATCTTTTCAATGAATAAATTTAATGAATTTTTAGCTTAAATATACTGCTGCTTACAAGGTAAATACCTAATATATACATGGACACTTAAAAAAATGAGAGATGCCATCCAGTTCTGGTTTTGGGTCAAACATGTTGCATATTTTAAAAACTATTTTGTGTCAGAACAAGTTTATCTGGAGAAAAGGATTGGTATATAGTGCCATTTCTGAGTCATAAGATTTTGGTTTTAGACAAACCAAAATTACATCTTCTATGACCTTGTTGCCTCATCTTTGCAATGGAGATAACAATCTGAAATCTCTTGAAAGCATTGAAGATTTAATGAGAGAAGCTAGGAAACATCCTCTGTATACTTGGAAGCACGAAGCCAAATGAGGTGGTGTCAGTACAATTAGGTTTCTTTACCTTTTCTTTTCTTTTTTTGACCTCGGACATATCTTCGTGGTGTAATTTATCACAAACTGGGGTATTAAATTGCTTTGATAGCTGTGTATCCAAGGTTCTATATAAATGCAAATTATCTATTTCCCTGTTGCACCGAGCCTGTAAAATGATTGAGAGTAATATTCATTAAGAAACCTTTGTGAGTGACGATCAGAGAGTAGCTATGTAGAAATTAAATTAGACTCCTAATCCCCAGTTCTTGCCCTGCTAGCATACAGAGTTCAGAGAACATACTTGAGCATTTTCTTGTCTGGATATTTTTATCAAGCTTATATTTTCAAGTAACAAAAAAGAAATAGGAAAAAGGCAAGACAGCCGCTACATTAATATACAGCACTGTCAGCTTACAGCCGTAATAGCGACATATTCATTGTACAATTATCTGTTGTTGCTGCTGTTAGGTGCAGTTGAGTTGGACCTACAGAAGAAAGAAATACTGTGTAACCCTGTGTCCAATTGGAAGAAACACTGCCCAGAGATGATGCACCCTCCTCACAATTTTTGCTGTGTCTGAGCCCATTCTTTTTTTTTTTTA